TGGGCAGGGGGTGGGCAGGGGGAGGGCAGAGGGAGGGCAGGGGGTGGGCAGGGGGGTGGGCAGGGGGAGGGCAGAGGGAGGGCAGGGGATGGGCAGGGGGTGGGCAGAGGGTGGGCAGGGAGAGGGCAGGGGGAGGGCAGGGGGTGGGCAAGGGGGGGCAACAAAGCTGGGAGAACCTGGGAAAAGCTTGGAGATGGGTGATGGGGTCGGGGATGGGAATGGGAATGGGCAGGAGGACAGGCGCTGGCACTGGGATGGGCACAGGGTGGGTCTGGGGACTGGCACTGTCCTGGGAGGGACATGGGGGGGGGCACCGGGAAGGGGCGGGGGAGAGGTTGGGGGACAGGGGTGGGCACCAGGATGGACCTGGGGACAGATTTGGGGACAGGAATGGGCATGGGCACCAGGATGGACCTGAGGACAGGTTTGGGGACAGAGGTGGGGCACAGGGATGAGAATGGGCACCATCCTGGGCTGGACGTGGGGGTGGGCACCAAGAAGGTCCCAGGGACAAGTTTGGGGACAGGGATGGGAATGGGCACCGGGATGGACCTGGGGAGAGGTTTGGGGACAGGGGTGGGCACCAGGATGGACCTGGGGACAGGTTTGGGGACAGGGGTGGGAATGGGCACCAGGATGGACGTGGAGACGGGTCTGGGGACAGGAGTAAGCACCAGGATGGACCTGTGGACAGGTTTGGGGACAGAGATGGGGATGGGTTTGGGAACTGGCACCATCCCGTGATGGACACGGAGCCGGGCACAGGAAGGACCTGGGGACAAACACATGGGGAGTGACCAGCACGGGCACGGGGGGCACCGTGGTGGCACGGGGGGCACTGTGGTGGCACGGAGAGCACTGTGGTGGCACAGGGGGGGTTTCCAAGCCCACCCCTCGCCCCCAGCCCCCATCAGGGCGTGTCTCCCCCAGCGCGTTCCCGGCGGAGCTGGGCGAGGTGTTCTCGGCGTGGCAGGAGGAGTGCTCGGCGCGGGGCAAGGCGCCCATCGGGCAGCGCCTGGTGTCGGCCTCGCTCTTCCTGCGCTTCCTCTGCCCCGCCATCATGTCCCCGAGCCTCTTCGGCCTCGTCCAGGAGTACCCCAGCGAGGCCACCGCCCGCACCCTCACCCTGGTGGCCAAGGTCATCCAGAACTTGGCCAACTTCACCACGTATGTCCCACCCAGGGGGGTGGGGGGGCGGTGGGGACGTCCCCGACGGGCTCCGTGGCATGTGCCACCTCCCGGAGGTGGCCTGGTCCGTGATGGGGGTGGTGTCCAGTGCCCAGGGTGGTGGCCCATGTGACCACGAAGGTGGCCCCTGACCATGTTGATGGCTCGTGACCACCAGTGGTGGCCCACGACCAAGGTGGTGGCCCTGGTCCATGCTCCCAAAGGTGGCCTGTGACCATGACCATAGGGATGGCCCATGTGACCATGGTGGTGGCCCATATGACTGCAGTGGTGGCCCATGTGACTGCAGTGGTGGCCCATGGCTACGGTGGTCACCCCTGACCATGGTGGAATCCCTGGTCCCTGCTGCTGAAGGTGGCCTGTGACCACACCCATAGGGATGGCCCATGTGACCAGGGTGATGGCCCCTGTGACCACGGTGGTGGCCCATGTGACCATGGTGGTGGCCCATGGCCACGGTGGTCACCCCTGACCATGGTGGAATCCCTGGTCCCTGCTCCTGAAGGTGGCCTGTGACCATGACCACGG